GGGGCCCATCGCTAACGGCCCCCCGACTATCTAAAATGACTGGTGGACACGATCAAGCTGACGTGGCCGTTGCCGGCTGGTTTGGATGACGTCACGATGGCGTGGCTGCCATGTCAGTCTTTATAATGACGAAACTACCCCTCATTTTGTCTTTCTAGATTGAGCTTTCGTAATTCATAGGCCGGGTTATAGTATACGGAGGAAAAGCCGGCGAACAGTGATTTGTAGTCTTAAGTTGGATTTTGTGTTAATTTACTTTGTTGGTGCTTCAATTATTACTATAATTATATTTTGTTTATATTTCTTTTCTATTTTGTTTTTAAACATAAAATAAAAATATATTTTAATGTTTTACTAATTTATATTTGAATCAACAAGAGTAGAAATATATTTAAACATAAACCAAAAAAAATATAATTATTATAATAAAGACTATTTACTTTATAATTAAACATGAACATTAGTGTTAAACATTATTTAAAACTCAATATTATATTTATTATCAAATTACTACTCATTAGTAACTTATATGGCTAACAAATATTTTTTTAATTACATACATAATATAGTCAACATGAAATATAATTATTATTTTAATTATATATCATTTAGAGTCTATTTGGGATGACTGAAAAATCTCATAAAGTTGGATGTAAAGTTATTGTGTAGATAGAAACTTAACTACTTTGGTTATAAAAAAGCAGCTTTGCCACTTCAAAAAATTTAAGAGGTAATGAGACAACAATAATAAATCAATAGCCTAATGAAATTGTGTTTACTATCTAGAAAGCAATGCAGTGAGAAAGCTGTCACAAACAAGCTCTTAATATTCATAATTTTGAGTGTTAAGCTAACTTCTTGTTTGTACATCTTTCTTACTGTTTTATAAAACAAATTTTTAGTAAAAAAACTTTTAAACTAAAATGTTTTATATTAAAAAGCCTCTTTAAAAAATAATAAGAAAACTGTCCCAAATGAAACTTAAGTTTAACTTACTCAACATTTTAAGGATCTTTTGAGTAGAAATTTTTTATTGCATGAGATTACCTTAATGTTTGTTTTGATTTCTTTATTAGTACAACATCGATGTCAATCTTGATAACATTATCCAAGCTTCATAAATACATTAATCAACCAACACTAGCTGACAAGAAAGCTACAGGAAAGGAAATACAGGTACAGTAAGATGAGATCTAAGTAACAGCTCTAATAAGCTCTAATAGGGGGGAGGATATTATTAGTGTTACATAATCTCCTTTTAATCTATTTTGTAAGGATGTCTATAATTTGCATTTCATCCCTTAGATTAATTCTTGATGAAGTGGTCACATTAAAGCTTAAGCCTCCCTAATTCAAAATGTATAAATGAAAATTTGCCTTTCTAACCATCATTTCACCTTTAAGAATGGTATGTCGATGCACTTTATCTCTGAAGTGTTAGTTGTTCACGATCACCTTTAAGAATAGTGCCAAAAATTTGTTTTCAACCTCTATGATATGTTCACCTAAGGAATTTTAGTTTGTTTTAAATCTAGTTTACTATTTTGAAGAGTTCTTTTAAGAACTTTAAGTCTCAGTTCTATGTCAAGTAGAAAAAGAGTATCCCTATGAGATTATATGAATAAATTCAACAAAGCTTCACATAAAGTCACTAACGATGTTAATAATCTAGCCAAATATGTCTTTATCCTAGGTTGTTTATATGAGGAGGTTTATATTTTTAGTGATCTTCGATCTCTAAAAAGTCTTTATATTCATTAATACTGAAAATTTAGTACAACGAATTAAATAACCTGCTAATCTACATCTAGTCATTTAAGGACAAAGTAAGCTTGAATATGGGAGTAGTTCCTCTTTAGTATTACCCCTATAATTCCTTAATAAAAATTGAGTATTAAAGATTTTTTTATCAAATTATCATTATCATTAACTAATTTCTCTCAATAAGATGGTCCCAATCATGGCCACCTATGGATAAGTTCTATGGTGGCCCATGACCTCCTTTAAACCAACCTCTCATGATAATCAAGTTAATGATCAGAAGGAAGGAGTACATTAAATAGACTACACTCATGCAAAAGAAATCTTAGTCTTGGGGCAAGTTTATATTTTATTTATAATATAATAACTATGGCCATGACATTGAAGAGCTATGCATGCTCAAATCCTTCATTAAGAAATACACTAAGGAATGCCACATCAAATATTACATAGCTGGGTATCAAGCCAAATTAAGAGTGGTTAGATGAAGAGCAATTCAAGTTGAGCTAAGCAGTCGAATAACTGTATAATTAAAAAAAATTTTGAACCATGTGTTTTTTCAAGGTCCTATTGCGATGAAAGTTTGGATTCATTTTGACAATTTGTTCAAAGTATTCTCAACCTTTCAATTTACTTCTATCACTGAGGTTTTTGGTGAATGATTTACTAATATTAAAGGCCACATTCGTAATATCTTTCCTGTCTTGATATGTTGGTTTATATGGAACAGTAGAAATGCTTCTAAACATGATAATGTCAAAATGGATGCTGGCACTATTATCTCCAAAATTAAGTACAAAAGTTTTCAACTTTTTATTGTGAAGCTTTTAAAGATTGATTCTTTCAAAGGTTATCATCATCTTTATGAGGAGTTTGGTTTGAATTCAATTTCTCCTATTATTGGTTCTAACAATAGGGTTGTTTACTGGACTAAACCTATGTTAGGGTGTTTCAAACTCAATACAGATGGTGCTAGAAATATTACTAAAGCGGGTTGTGGTGGTACTATTAGAGATTACAAGGTTGTTGTCATTAAAGCCTTTGCGGGTCCTTCTAATGCTACTACTGCAATTCAAGCTGAGTTGGAAAGCCTTTTGTTTGGGAATCATCTTTGTAACTCTCTTGGGATTACTAATTTATGGGTTGAAGTGGATGCTATGCTCATTATCCATTATATCAATGGTCAATCCTCTGCGAATCCGATTTTAGTGGATGTTGTTGACTTACCTATTCTGGTGCCTTTGGGTTCAGTTAAACATGTGTTAATAGTATGGATGTTTCTATTAAAGCTCTTATAGTTGACATACTGCTTTCCTTAATTTCTAATGAAGTGGTTATTAACCAGGCATTAGTGTATCAAAAGTTTGATTTGCATTGTAATAAGATTCATGTTGATCATTCTGATTGGTTAACTGACTGTTATTCATCGGTTAACTGGTGCATTGGGGTGGATATTGATGGGCTTGTCAATGGCTCTCAGGCAATGTGTGATTTAAATTTGATTCAAGTTGATAATGAAGGCTTTACCAATGATGTTGGTAAAAATGTAGGGAAAAAATAAAAGTACTCTGAGTGTTGATCTTTTTTTCTTCTTTATTTTTCTTACTTTGATATGTTGATGTCAGGTCCCCCTCATGTTGGGTCTTTCTATTCTGTACTGATTTGCTGGTCCTGTTTGGTGTGGATTCTAGTTATCTGGTTTCTCGGTCGTTGATGTGATTGTTCTTTAGCCCAGTATGGCCTATGGGCTTTAGGATTATTCTTTTGCTCTATTTGAGCTATGGGTTGTTGGATTGTTTATTTACCTAGTGTGGTTAGTTGACTAGTTGTCTCCTTTTCGTCATTAGCTTATTTACTCTCTTTGTAAGTTTTTTATTGCAGGGTTGGGAGCTAATTTTTCTGATCTTCGCTTGTGAGTGATTGATCTATTTTGTCTCCAGGGAATTATGTTTCTTCCTAGAAGGTATCTGCTTAATTTTGGGATCCTATCTTAGCTATATTCTATTGCTTTTACCTTTTGTAGGTTAAGTCTCTAATGTTGTGCAGCTTTGTCTTTATGTTTTTTGGATCCAAAGTTTTCTTTTATTGGGGTATATTGACCTCCTGCTCTCCTATTTTTTTAGGTTTTTTATCTATTTGGCTTGTACTGCAGTAAGGTCCAAAGTCTTATTAGTTTTTTTTTTTTTTTTTTTAACTTCTTTCTTGCTTGTAGATCTTTGGAGTAGTAGTGGGCTATTGGGTCTTTTAAGGACTTTTCTTATTTTTACTTAATCAATGCATAGGCCCCTTTATGGGTTTTACTAAAAAAAATTATATAGAACGTGGAGAATGTAAAGTTTAAAATGATAGAATAGTATGTTACAAAAAAAATAAGAGATTCAATCTAAAGTTAGTTTGTTATGGAAAGGTGTAATGCTAACTCAAATAGTTGGCTTGTGGTTTAAACCTGAGATGTTGGACAACAAACCATAAAAGGACTTTATAGCATTTAATGGATGTGCTTTCTCCCAAACCTTTACTCCTCTTAGTTTCCACCAAATTTTCTTACTTTATGAAAATTTCTTAGCAGTAACCTAATCCTCATAAGACATTAATAAGAAATTAAAGGGAACTTTTCTACCAATACCAATAGTACCAATTCTTCTCTCTCTCTCTCTCTCTCTCTCTTGCGCTACAGTCATTGTGTCGTATATCCCAATAAGACAAATAGATAAATTTTTCATTAAAAAAATAAATAAAAAATAATATAATTAATGACATACAATGGCATGACAAACATATTCAACACAAAAGTGCTCCTTATAAATGAGATGACGAGTATTGTAACCAAACTAATTAAAATAAAATTAAAGATAATAATGATTATTAACTAAAAGTATTTACATAGAAAACAGAATATTTCATATTTGTTAGGTATGACAATACACGTAGATTCCATCAACCTTTTTGCGTTGCGCATGCACGTATGAACGTAAATTAAGCACAATTCCCATTTACATCTTAAAAACCCGTAAGGGCATCCCGGTCCTTTCACAACAAATCAATATGATAAACCGCGGTCCAAGAACCGCTTCCTCCGGCTAAGACCACCGCCTCACGGCAGTGCACATCCACTTGGCGGTCCACGGCGGATTTTTCCCTCTCGCCATCCTGATCACTAAGGCTGGTCGGTAAGCTTACCTCTTTATCTGGTTCACCCCGCCTCCTCCCCCAAAGTCCACCGCTTTTCGGTCAGGGAAAGATTAAAGAGGAACAGGCGACATATAAGGCTTAGATTTCTACTTTAATTTCTTCTCTTTTCGTCTCTCTTTCTCGCTCATCTCTGCTTCTCATGTTAGTTTCTGCATTAATGGCCGATTCGCGCGGAAGAGAGCATCTTTAGAACTGGGATTCTCTTTTGTTTTTCCTCTCCATCTCCTTTTTCTTCATCTTTGATCAAATAGTATGGCAGAAAACAAAGGAGGGAGCTCGAGTCGCCACCAAGAGCTTCAGATCAGTTTTGGGATGATGCAGGCTTCTTCTTCCACTCTTCACGCAAGTGCTATGTAATACTTATATATAGTTCTATATTTTCACTGTTGTTTAATTTATGTTTATTAGATGATATAATTTTTCTTAATTTCTTTTAGCTACTTTAGCATAAAATTCTGTTGGATATACTTCAACCTATGTATTGGATTCGATCTAGCTTACCTTCTTCTTCTCTTCTTCTTCCTCTTCCTTTTTTTATTATTTATTATTTTTTTATTTTTTATACAATTGGAGATTGAAGAGAAAGCTAAAGATTTATGTAAAGCTCATAACTTGGTACATAATTGTAATCATTAAAGTGTTATGAAAATTAATTTAGGCAAAGAAGGCCATATTTTTTTAGTATTTTATGCGTCCTATGAGGAATTTTAAAGGACTAATGAGGTTTGAATTAGTTCAAGATCGATTTTTCAATGCTTCTTTTGGTGTTTGAACTAGAAATAACATCTTAATTTCCTTTCTTTTGGAGACTAGATAATAACAATAATTTGTGATTATTTTTTTAATGATATGAAGCGTAATTTGTTTTACAATCTTGGTTTATGGTTTGATGGCAGGAGCAAGGAGGGAGGATCAGGAGCATACGACTTGGGAGAGTTGGATCAAGCTCTATTCCTCTATCTTGATGGTCAGGATCATTCCTCAGTTCAAGAACATAGACGTGAGTAAAATGAATTTTTGTGTTTTATAATTAGTTTATTTCATCTATTTTAATTATTCTATGTATAGTAAGCTATCATTTATATGGTCAAGGACGAATATAATTAGTCTGCAGGAGAATATTAGATATATAGCTGGATCAGAGATTCCCTGATAAAAGGTTTTTTGCCTGGTTCATGAGAAGATCATGGCAAAGAGATCTTCCTGTACTTTTTTTACTGTATTTTGAGCATGTAATAAGTGTTCTTGCAATTAGTTTCTGAATCCTTCTTGAGATTTAATAGTTTAATAGTTATTTTTTGAAGGGAGTGTGACATCTAACAACCTCCTCATGATTTCCTCGTAAATCCTTGTTCAGAATGAGGGTGCATATGGATTTCTTTTCCTTCTCTTCCATTAATTCATTGTTCCTTTTTCCTTCCTATTTTTTCCTATTCTTTTTGTCATGATGGCAGCAAGCTCCAAATGCATGACAAGACAAATTTAGAAAGCTAACCTCCATTTTTTTCTTACTTGATAGATGCTATACACATCTTTATGTGTTTCACCAATCCCAAAGCACATTCAATGATTATTTTTCATACATCCTGACCATATTTTTTATCCTCTCTCTCTCTCTCTCTCTCTCTCTCTCTCTCTCTGGCCTGGATCTCTCTCTGGATCACTCTCAAAGTTTAGAAAAGGTGGTTCAATGGCTGTCTTTGAAGACAGCAATCTTCCATCTCTCCTTAAATCTATACAGTGTATGTGATGAGTTTCACCTTTAGAAGATTTAATAATGCGTGCAGGAATTCATCTATGCAGAGACTTTGAACATATTCCCTTCTCAGCCCATGCATGTTGAGCCATTCAACAAGGTATGTTTTTGGAAGCCTTTTCCAAGTTTTTACTTATAATCATTTTTTAATGTGTTCTCTTCCTTTTTCAAGGATTACAACTTTTTTTTTCAATTATACAATCCTTCACACTATCTTTCTCTAATACATTTATGTTATAACAATTAGGGTGGCGTGATCAGTTTAAACAATGCTTCAAACAATTCTTCTAAGAGACCTGCTGACCAGTCCATGGAGATAGGAAATCGCAGGAACAATACCTCATCGTTGGTTCAACCTGACAAAGATAGTAAAGCAGCAGTGAAGGTTTAAAACCCTAAAACTCTCTCTCTCTCTCTCTCTCTCTCTCTCTCTCTCTCTCTAACTTTATATTTCTTATGGTTATTGAAGCAGAAAGAATCGAGCACTAAAAGGGGCACAGCTTCTAGTACTGAACAAGAAGGCCCCAAGACACCAGATGCTAAGGCAAGTTTCATCTAATTGGAACTGCAGAGATACACAAATTTTGAGAAAAATAAATCCCATTTCATTTTCTTTAACTTTTTCTGGTTCATTTCACCAACATTTTCTATAACATTTCAAAATTTGCTCTATCATTCAATGTGATTTGCTTAGTTGCTGACAGACAATAAGGAGGCTAGCTCAGAATAGGGAAGCAGCAAGGAAAAGCAGACTCCGCAAGAAGGTTAGTCAACTCAACTACTTTAACAGAATCGGATAGATAAAATGAAGAGAGATAGAGGAATTTATTATGAAAAAGAGATATGCTCTTTATAAGTTATAAATAACAGATATATGTTGACTTACCTGTTTCTCACTTACCACAATATTATTATGTCCAACACGACCAATAGCAAATAATGCTAACGTTATAAATGCGAGAAAATTACCCCTTGTTTTTTTAATTGTCAAACAGGCTTATGTTCAACAACTGGAGAATAGCAGGATCAGACTAACACAGCTTGAACAAGAGCTTCAAAGAGCAAGAGCTCAAGTACATATTCACTTCATCACCATCCATATTAACTCTATTACCCCATCAAAATCCTAGATACAGATTTATAAAGCTTATCTTCTCCTCTTGATTAACCAGGGCGTGTTCTTCGGTGGCGGAGCCCTCCTCGGCGATCAAGGTCTTCCCCATGGTATCAACACCCTTAGCTCAGGTACTTTACGAGCCCAAAGCTAGCAACCACCATTCTCTTCAACTATCAAACTATGATACTTTTGCAGAAGCCACCATGTTCGACATGGAATTTGCGAGGTGGCTGGAAGAGCACCACCGCCTTATGTGCGAGCTCCGTGCAGCCGTGCAAGAACACCTGCCTGAGCACGAGCTCCGGCTTTACGTCGACCACTGCCTTTCTCATTTCGACGAGATGATAAACCTTAAAGGCGCCATCACGAAGGCCGACGTCTTTCACCTCCTCTCTGGAATGTGGAAGACTCCTGCCGAGCGATGCTTCATGTGGATGGGTGGCTTCCGACCATCAGAGCTCATCAAGGTTACTTCTTCCTTACATAAACCCTAACCCTACTTTTTGAGCGCTTGGTTATGATACCTACATAAACCTTTGGGTAGGTGAGGGGATTGGGTGAGATGTCCCCATTTGATTTTGATTAGATCTATGAGTGGAAGAAAGACTTTAGAGAGTGGACAATTTGGAGAGATAAAGTATATTTTTCTTGATGGAGAAGAAGAGGAGTAGGTGGTGGTATAATGGACAATTTAGGTTAGATAGATGATTTCCTTAAAATGGTGGGGAAGTTGTCTGGCAAAATTATATTCTATAAATCGGTTGAAGTTTTGTTATCAAACGGGTTAGAAGAATCAGAATGTATGCCCATCTCTTCGGACTATTATTGCAGGCATGCATCATCTTATATTCTCTATATTTGAATTATTTTATTTATAATATCATATTTATTTATTTATTTATTTACTGGTTCATTAATAGTTCTTTAGATTATGGTTAAATCCTTTTAGATGGGAAGAAAAGCTATTTTCTATTTTGTGATCAAAGGAGAAAATTTTAGAAAAAAAATTATTTTTATTTATTATTGATTAAAAAACATATTTGCTATTTAAAATATTTTTTTTATATTAATTGTTGGTACCTTCTATTTATTTTTTCTTATTTATAGGTTATTTTTTCTTATTTAAGTGTTGGAGAGATGAGGATGCTTAGGTGGATGAGTGGCTTTACCCTTAGAGATATGATACAAAATGAGCATATACGTGAAAAGGTTGGAGTAGCTCCAGTGGAAGATAAGATTAGAGAGAGTCGGCTTAGATGGTTAGGAAAGTTAAGAAAGGTATTAGAATGGTAGAGGTAGACCTAAAAAGTTTTGGTTAGAAAATATTAGAAATGATCTTTCTTTATTAGATTTAAATGAGAATTTGACTTTTAACAGGACACGATGGCGAAAAAAGATTTATGTAGTCGACACCACGTAGTGAGACAATGCAAAGGCTTGTTGTTGTTGTTGTTGAGACAAAGGCTTGTTGTTGTTGTTGTTGTATAGGTTATTATCTGTCTTTACAGTGATATATTTGTCATGACTAACGACAAATACATTTCAGTAAAATTTCTTATTGAATTTTATTTAGATGCAATATGCTGATATAAAACTGTAAGATGAAATAGAAAATTTGGTGCGACTTAACTTTGAACTTTTTTATTTGCATTGTAAGACTCACTAAAATTTAGCTCAGATATCATCTTCATAATATTGTTCAGGATGTTAGATATATATTTTAAACCTGTAAAATAAGTCTTAATCGATGCTTTGCAGGATATATATTTCTTCTTATTTTACATGGCAATCAAAATAGGTACAAGCAATTATTTCTTACAATATAAGAAGTTATCTGGCTTGCTGAGAACTTTTATTTTTTGGTTAAAAGAAGAAGAAGAAGCTCTGAATTCCTGAATTAAGCTTAGAAAATTATAATGTGCTAGAGCTTTTACTTAAGAAAAATGGATTTTTACTATTTTCTTACTCAGTAGTCTCTTTGTCATGATATTGCAGATTCTATTGAGCCATATAGAACCATTAACAGAGCAGCAAATACTAGGAATCTGTGGATTACAGCAGTCAACCCAAGAAACAGAAGAAGCACTAAGCCAAGGGCTAGAAGCCCTTAATCAATCTCTCTCTGAAACAATTGCCTCTGATGCTTTGAGCTCCCCTTCAAACATGGCAAACTATATGGGTCATATGGCTATCGCCATGAATAAGCTCTCTACACTTGAAGGCTTTGTCAGACAAGTAAGTAATTGATTCTCTAAAATTACAATTTTTTTCTTAGATCCTTAATTACATTTTAATTTCTTATCAAGATGATTAACTAATTAAGCCAAATACAATCCTAATAATTTAAATATTACATTTAAATTGTTTGATTTGACTATATAAAATTCTTAATCATATTAGCTTTTTTAGGTGATCAGCATGGAGTTAGTGCTCTAATATATTGATTAATGTGTTGGTTTGACGGAATCAAAATACCGAATTTCTAATATTAATAATCTAAGTACGTAGACCTTCCTAAATTTTATTCTAACCACTCCCCTCTGCCAAAATGATCTAATTTAATAGAACAAAATGGGGTAGAATTTTGTTCATGATTTTGAGTAAAATTAACTGCTCGTTTAGTACTTAATAGAAAAAAAAAACGACGTGTAAATAAAATGGTTAAAATTAATAATAATGATGTTGAGTCAACGTATTTTTAATGTACTGGCGATTTAGATTTGAAACAGATTGGTAAGTCAACAAGGAGACATCTACATTTTTTCCTAAGAAAACTTACTGTAATTAATGGAAAAAGCTGCTTGTTCTATGAGATTTACTTACCATAGTTACAGGTTAGTTAAAAAACTAATAAATATTAGTTTAAGTCAATTTTTTTTTTTTAATTTTAGACAAACAAAAATATTTTTTAGTCACACTTAGAATATTATTAATTTTTCAAAAACCTTGTTACTAATAATTATTTTTTTAAATAAGAATTTTAATCATAATTTAATTATGTTTTTAAAATATTCTTAATTAACACACCTCAATCATAAACACTTTTAATTATCTACTAAATTTTTTTGTAAAAGTCTGAAATTAATTAAATCTTTAAAAAGTCTGAAATTAATTAAGTTAAGTGTGATTCAAAGTTGTCTTAAGCCACATTTTAAAAAATAATTATTATTATGACATAAGTGATGTTCATTCATACAAATTCAAAGAAAATTATAGCTATTAAGTATTCAATTACTTGTTGCATAAATGTATTATTGCATTAAGCATAAAACTATTAATGCATAGAGCTTAAAAAAAGTACTAAAAGATTTCTCTTCTTACAGGCGGATGGCCTGAGGCAGCAAACCCTTCACAGGCTTCACCAGATTCTGACTATTCGTCAAGCAGCTCGGTGCTTTCTCTCCATTGCTGAGTACTTCCATCGCCTCCGAGCTCTCAGCTCCCTCTGGCTTGCCAGGCCAAGACAGGAGTGAGCACACAAAGGCTCCTCTTGTTAATTATTAAGCAAGAAAGTAAATCTAGAAAGATATATTTACCACCTTCATCCTCTTCCAAGCTTACCATAGCTAGCCTGCTAGGTTCTTTTATTAGACTTGCAGAAAAATGTATAGATAGGTTTATAAATACTTTAGAGAGTATGGATTAATTAATGGGACGTTGGAAGAATTTGTGCTATAGTTGCATTTTGTTTTAAGAAGTGTAACTCATTAGCCACATTTCTGACATTTGAGCACACTTTTTGATGAATTATGCCATTAGAGCTGATGAAAGACTGAGAAGAGACGTGATGAAGAGGTGGTCAGAGTTACCAGATAGTAAGTTAGACTGCATAGTCTTTAACTCTCTAGTTGGTTTCTGCATGCTACGTGGTGTAGGGAAAGAGAGGGAAGTACATGTGGCTCGTGACAACTCTGCATGCTTTGATAGTAGTTTTGGTGTAAGGTGGCAAGTACGTAATTCCTCAAAATGCTTTAGCTTTTCCTTTTTTATGTACTTTAGCTGGTGATGACTTTATCTTAATTCGATTTCAATTTGGGTCTTTTTTTTTTCTAATTCTGGATCTAAAAGGTTTTAAGTTATGGCCATAATGGTACAATCTTTACTGATAATGTCCTTGAAGCTTAGTTTAGTGGGGATCATCTTCCTATCTCACTCACGGGCCTACGTGTTAATTAAAAGGGAAAATTATAAGTCCTTGACACTCGATCAGAGGGGGCTCAACGAATTCACCCCGATGATCTGGTGGTCGTGTCCGGGCACAGATCCAAGAACTCCTTGTTGGAAGAAATCACCACATGAATACAATTCAGGATACAAAAAATGAAACTAACCTCAAATTAAATCTATTCAATCCCCTCCATTGTAGGCACTAGCCCTTATTTATAATATTTGAAAGGCTACATAAAAGGAAATAGGCCTAAAGAAAATATAAAGGTCAAACTATCTAATTATGTGGCAAATACAGTGACTGAAGCTTATGACAAAAATAACCAAGCAATAGCTCCGGCGTCATTCTACCGGGGCAGAAGGAATTTCAGGCTCGTAGAAAGATGTCGGGTTGGCCACAATAAGGAGACGATTTCAGTTGGCTAAACTGGTCGGGATATTTCCACCAGGTGTCATTCTCTCCTTCGAGGAGAGATTTCAACATCAAATGGAGTTGACGACAAATGGGATAGTTGACAAACTCATAATACATCTTTATTAGCACCTTCAAACAGCACTCTTCGAGGGTTGAATTGGACTTGACATCAAACTGATGATCAACTATGCAAATATCGGCATCCACATCGATCGTCTCCAAGGATTTCGTGTCAGAATGCATGAAGGTACCAAGTTGATTGTCGTGGTCAAGATTGGCCATAATAATTTCGCTATCAATGACGCTAAGCATATTTGTTGTTTTATCAGGAATGATAGGAATGACTAACTCCAAAGGTGCATCTACCATGCTCGTGTCATCATCATATATGGGTTGATCAAGATTAAGAACTCCTATGAATATGTTGTTGTCATACACATCATACACTGGCTCATCATAAACATGCAAAGATGACGATTTCGAAACGAATCTTCAAATTCTTCGAAGCTGAACTCGATCGAGGGTGCGGTGGAAGATTGACGAGGTGGCTCTTCAAACACATATTCGTGGGTAGAAGAGATTTGATCATCTAAGATGCTTTCATTGTCATCACTGGTTCTTAAGGTTTTGTTGAAACGAGAGATCTTGAATCCTTCATGGCAGCATACATGCACTGGATGCCATTAAAGTTCCGGGTAAGGGGCTCAAATTTTCCTTCGTTCAATTCTTGACAATCGCAGTTTTAGTCGAGCAATTTATTGTAGGAGATCTTCGATTTCAATTTCATGAAGTGGTCGCTGAAGATTTCAGCCAAGTGGCATCTTTCCAACTTTGTTAAGAACGCTGATGTGGCATCAGTTTTCTTGGAGGTGGAATACGAAGTCAAAAATTATGAATGTTTCGATGCAATCTTCTAGAGAAATTATCCCATTACTGAATTAGCAAAAATAAGGGAACAACAGTATTTTTTTGGACCGCCCTTCTTGACGATACTTTAAGTGGTTGCTGCAGTGTCTGACAAGTCCACGTCTTTCTATGCTCGGTCAAGATAGTTGTTTTGGAGGTTGAATTTGTGGCCAAGATGAATTGTTTGCTTTTGGTGAATTTTTAGGTGGGAAGAATGTGGGTTGTAGGATTCCACCCAAATCAATGTTCGAAAATTCTTTCTCTCATCCAACCAACAATCTTGATCAATTGACAAGGGAAGGCGCTAAACTGCAACAATCCGCATCAAGAGAGCTAACCAGATGTTGGAGTTGATTACCAACTTGATTCCAAAGTTTTTTTTTTTTTTTATATATGTTGACTTGATGAGCCACACACTGCAAGAGCTTCTTAAGGAAGATTGGCACAGCTGCTTGCGGTTTGATGTCGGAGCCGATTTGCCACCAAAGATCAATGAGGCTGACTGTTCGCCAATGACTTTGAAGCAGATTCGCCGCCGTGGAATCTACGGACTAGTAGAAGCCATTCTTGGATTGGTTTGAATACCGGACAACAACACGAGGTTGGAAAGTTTCTTGGCCTAAGCAATTCGCACTCTTCTTGGCTACTATACCACAAATTACGAATCAAGAATGGATGTGAAAATTAGAATAGCAACAGACCAATTTTTGGGAGGCCGATTTTGCTATTATTGATGGCTTCTTCTTGCGATAGTCAATGACACCGGCAGCGGAGGTGACACGATGAAAGATAAGAACGCCAACAACTTGCCAGCTTTGATACCAAATGACGCCGGACCAGAGGGGGCTCGACGAATCCACGTTGATGATTCGGTGGCCGTGTTCGGGCACAGATCCAAGAACTTTATCTAGGAAGAAATCACCACTTGAATACAATTCAGGATACATAAAATGAAACTAAACTCAAATCAAATCTATTCAATCCCCTCCATTACAAGCACTAGCCCTTATTTATAGTATTTGAAAGGCTACATAAAAGAAAATAGGCCTAAAGAAAATATAAAGGCCAAACTATCTAATTATGTGGCCAATACAATGCTGATGTTTATGACAAAACTAACCAAGCAAGAGCTCCGGTGTCACTGATTCACGGAACGGTTGAAGGCAAATTCAACTTGTGCGAGAATGAGATCCCACTATTTGTGATTTTTACCTACAAAACATCTCAACAAGTTCCCTAAGCTCTGCTTAACAACCTCGGGTTGCCTATCCATTTGTGGATGTGCAGCTGAACTGAATTGAAGATTAGTTCCTAATTTGCCCCATAAAGTCTTCCAAAAATAGCTCATGAATTTAACGTCTAAATCGGAAGTGATAGTTTTAGGGATTCCATGCAAACATAATATTTCTCTGAAGTAAAGATCAGCAATATGGCTTGCATCCAAGGTCTTGTGACAAGCCACGAAATGAGCCATCTTCAAGAATCAGTCTACGACTACCTTGACCGAATCTTTGTTACATTGGGTGCGATGTAATCCCACAAAATCAACACTCACATCCTCCCAAGGAGCTTGCGGAATATGTAGCGGAGTGTAGAGTCTTGCATTTGTCATTGGAGTTTTTGTTATCCTACAAATGCGACAACTCTTGACATACCTTCCCACATCTCTAGACAATAGTGGACAGTAAAATTTTTCTCGAACTAAGGCCAAGGTTTTGTCTCGGCCAAAATGTCCAACCATTCCTCCATCATGACATTCAGCTATTATGGCTAGCTTTCCATGTTGAACCTCTTAGAATGCAAAGGCATTTTCCAAAAAATAGATAACCATCTTTAATATGAAAAAGCTTATAAGGCTGCACCTGACATTTAGCCCAAATAATGTTGAAGTCTTCATTAGTTTGGTATATCTTCTTCAATTAATACTTCCAATCCAGCAACTTTGGTTTGTATAATTTGTAGTAATTGATGACATCTACTAAGAGCATCCTCCACTTGGTTAAGCATTCCCGCTTTATGCTTTAGAATAAAATTAAAGGCATCCAAAAACTCTAACCAAGTAGCATGACGGCCTTTGAGTTTCTTTTGAGTGTTGAGGAACCGCAGAGCTTTGTGGTCAGTATACAATACGAAGTCTTTGGCAAGTAAGTAATGGTTCCAATGATGTAAAGCTCTAACTATCGAATAAAATTCTTTATAGTAAGTTGAGTACTTTTGACGAGCTTCATTAAGTTTTTTACTGAAGAAGGTGATGCGGTGTCTATCTTGACTCAAAATAGCTCTTATACCAACATTGGAAGCGTCGCACTCAACTTCAAAAACCTTGCTAAAATCTGGAAGAATTAATACATATGATGTTGTCATTGCCTCCTTTAGCAGCCCAAAACTTCCTTGAGCCCTTCTATTCTAGTAAAACATTTCACATTTTAATAGTTCTATAAGCAGAGCTTCTAATGAGCTAAAATTTTGGACGATTCTTCCGTAAAAGGAAGCAAGGCCATGAAATCTTCTAACCTCGGTCAAGGAGTGTGGAGTTGGCCAATTCATAATTGCCTCAATTTTTTTAGATCGGCTTCAATTCCCTGAGCCGAAATTACAAAGCCCAAAAATTCAACTTTCTAATCCAAAAATCTGCATTTTTTCATATGAGCAAATAGCCTTCGTTCCCTTAGAACCTCAAGCACCAAGCGGAGATGTTGTAAATGCTCAACCAAGCTTGTACCATAAATCGATATATCGTCAAAATAAACTACTACAAACTTACATAAAAAAGGCTGAAACACTTGATTCTTAAGCCACATGAATGTGCTATGAGCTTTAGATAATCCAAAAGGAATTACGGTCCACTCATATAATCTGTCTCGAATTTTGAAAGCAGTCTTCCATTCGTCTCTGGCTCGCAAACAGATTTGATGATAACCGCTTCGCAAATCAATTTTTGAAAATATTTTGGCAACATGCAGCTGATCGAAGAGATCATCTATGTGAGGAATTAGAAATCGGTATTGAACAGTGATCTTATTGATTGCTCAACTATCAATGCACATTCGATAGGAATCATCCTTCTTTGGAACCATGGGCAGATCCCCATGGTAGTGAGGGGGGGGAAATGCCCACCCTCAAAAAAAATTTAAAATTTTAGAGGGTATTTTTTGGTATATTTTGGGTATTTTGCCCCCTCTCAAAAAAATTTTTGCATCAATTTTATCAATCCTAATCATCTTTACCCATCCCCTACCAAAAAGTTTTTTTTTTGCCCACCTTAAAAAGAGAAGTTGGATCCGCCCCTGTTTGGAACCAACAACATAGGAACACCACAACAGCTTACACTGGGCCTAATGAATCCTTTTGCTAATAATCCTTCTAGTTGATGGTGTAATTATTCATGTTCATCTGGTTGAAGTCAGTAAGGTGGTCTATTTGGAAGAGTAGTTCTAGGTAGCAGCTCAATTTCATGTTGAATATCACGTAAGGGAGGCAATCCAGCTGAAATATCTTTGGGAAAAGCATCTTGGAACCCTTTTAATAGCTTCAAAATTTCTGGTGAACTAGTTTCTTTGG